CGCACCATCTTATACCGTGGACACAGCCTGCAGTTCAAGCCACTTCGCTATTGCAGAAGCTTATAGAATGATACGAAGTGGGGAATGCGATGCAGCTATCGTGGGTGGTGTCAACCTGTGTCTTCATCCTCATTCATCGTTTCCGTATTTTCATTTAGGTAAGTGCTTGAACTTGAAAACATAATCATTCATTGTGAAGAGATTTGTCGCTTAAGTGCTATTCTCTCTAAATCTGAAACAGTGAATAGTCGTTGATTTTGTCTGAGTATTCACTGAATGCATTAGTGTCAGTATGTATTGGGTTGGCAACCAAGTAATTGCGAATTTTACTGATAGATGGCGTTAGTTGAATTTTTAGGTATATTTACATATTCGAAATGTTAAACCCATATTGTTGTTTGATAGTTGATATTTGAATTGGTATTTAATAAAAAAATTCGGTATCGATCGGTTGTGTAGTTTTTGTTTGGCGTTGGTTGAAAAATGGGAAAATAAAACGCATTTTCGTCATATATTGCTTTTTTATTTGAATTTGAAGTTCCATATGAGTGTAAAATATATAATTGCTAGCGCACATCGCAATCGTTTGTTTTTCGTTTATAATATATTATAAACTTTCACTATAGAATATATATATCCAATGTATATATATTTTACATATTTTGATATTTTTTTATTCAAAGATGTTATTCTTATTAGAATTGACGAAGTGTAAATGATATCTAATTTGACCTTTTGCACATATATATTTAATATAGTTTTTGGTGCAGCCGCGCCAAGATTTTTTGTATTAAATATTTTTTATTGCATTGTTATAATAATTAATTTGTTATAATAACAAGTAAAGTAACCATATAACTCAGGGTTCTAATAAATAATAATAAATTTTACTTGTAAAAATTTATGTTATGGACATTTTTTGCAGTTAGGTTTTTTTTTGAAAAATAATTACCTTTAAAAATATTTTTTTTAAATATTGGACACAATTAATAAACGTGTTAAATTTTTGTAACACGATATAATTTTTACTTGTCTTAAATCTTATGTTATGTACATATCATATACACTCAAACGCAAAAAACCCGGTACACTAAAAATTTGGGAAAAAATTACAAAATTTCAAATGATCATAACTTAGTAAATAATGAAGATACAAATATGCACAGAAATGCAAAATGAAGCTTGAAACGTCCTCTTTAAGAATATCTGAATGGCAATTATGCTCGGCCATTTTTTTCAAAATGGCGGATGATAAAGTGAGAGGATGCAAAATTGATAATCAAAGGTCCGTGTTTGCAATGGTGCATGGTGTGCATCAGGTATCGCAGCGTAATGGGACCAAATGCACATGAAAGTATAGAGTGTTATCCTTAAAATGCTACTTTACCGAGCTCGATGTGATCATTTTTCACTGAGTTGTTCCAAATTTTGCTAAAAATGCGGTTTTCTTGTTAAATTTGCATAATTCAGTGAATAAGTATCGCATCAAGCTCTATAACGAAGTATTTTAAAGAAAACATTCTATACTTTTAGATACTTTTCGTCCCATTGAGCTGCGACACTTATTTTGCTCCATGCGCCGTCGCACGCTCGAACCTTTTTTAGCAACTTTTCATGTTCTCCTTTTTATCACCTGCCATTTTGAAAAAATATCGTTGCCCACAATTTCGATAGATCTTTCGAAAAGTACGGTTTCAAAGCTTTCAAACCGTTTTTGAAATTTGCTGCTAGGATATTTAGGTGTCGAGATATTCAATTCCGAATTTGCAACAAATGTCGATTCAGCGAGGCTTAAGGGGCTAAGAGGCTCTGCGGTTCGTTTGGCTCTTTCATAATTTCAATAGCTGTGTTCATGTTTCTCTATTTAATAATTTACATAACCTGCACAATATATTCAATGATTTGCATTTATTATTTTGAAAGCCAGGGAAATGAAAGTAAAATTCAATTTAGGTTCTTCATTTTGCGTAATCGATATTACGTAATAAAGATGAATTGATATTAGTGATCGAAATTACGTAATAAAGATGAATGAATGCGTTTTAAGATACCGCTGTCATTAGCTCAAATTATGGTTGTAAGTCTTCCCAATATAAACCGCATGGAGTTTTACTAGTAGGAAAAGTCCCATTGTATGTAGTATGTGTGTGTGTGTGTGTGTTTGTATACCACAAGGATAAGGACCCCGCGGTTCGTCAGCTCCACAGTATTTCAAGGTTTCACACCCTCCTTGTGGTGTGTGTGTGTGCGTGTGTGCGTGTGTGCGTGCGTGCGTGCGTGCGTGCGTGCGTGCGTGCGTGCGTGCGTGCGTGCGTGCGTGTGTGTGTGTGTGTGGTGTTACAGCAGAGATAAGGACCCCGCAGTTCGTCACTCCTGCAGTAATTAATGACTCCAAACCCTCTCTGCTGTGTATGTGGTGTGTGTGTACTAATAGTGGGTATGACTGCCTCGTGCGCGTATTACCTCATTCATACGATCAGGCATACTCCTTATTAGTCTTTTAATTTCATCCTGCGTAATTGTATTCCATTCGTTTTCGAGAATTATTCGCAGTTCTCGCAGTGACTGAGGAGCAGGTACGTGATTTCGTACTTTCCTGCCGAGGTTGTCCCATAAGTGTTCGATTGGATTTAAATCTGGACTATTTGCTGGCCAATCGAGTCGATTTATGCCAACTTCATCGAAGAAATCAAGCACTCTTCTCGCAGTGTGGTCGAGCATTGTCTTGCATAAACAAGAAGTTCTCTCCGATGAAGGGTGCGTACGGAACAACATACGGAATGAGTATGTCTTCCACGTATACATCTGTGTTCATATTCTTGTCAAAAAAGTGCAGATCTGTATGAGCATTAGCTGAAATTCCTGCCCAAATCATTACAGAGCCTCCATTATAGCTATGCCTCTCACTTACTGTACAGTCTGCAAATCGTTCTCCACCGCGACAATAAACTCGTTCTCGTCCATCTGGAGAATAGACACAAAAACGAGATTCATCGCTAAAGAGTACTTTGCTCCAGTCTGCGTAAGTCCAGTCTTTATGCTCAACTGCAAATTGAGTCGAGCTACGCGATGGTGACATTTAAGCAAAGGTACAGCTGCTGACCTGCGCGAAAGCAGATTTTGTTCCTTTAATCTTCTCCGAACGGTGTTAACGGATACATTAATGTTGCGGACATCCCTTAAATTGTTTCTAATTTGAACAGATGTTCGATGTCTGTCTCTTAACGAATTTGAAACAATAAATCGGTCATCATTGTGATTGGTACATCGAGGACGTCCCGAACCAGGCCTTCTATGGAAAGAATTGGTTTGTAAGTACCTGGCATAAGCACGTTGCACAGTTGACACTGACAAATCAAATGCCTGAGCAACGTACCTTCGACTTCTGCCATCTTCAATTAAAGCAATAACTTGAGCAGCCTTTTCAGGATTTATCGTCGCCATAATCGACGCAATAATTTCGATGCGAAACAATCAATTATGGTTTAAATTGATGAAGTTGCACGAAGCAACGCGCCTCGAAAGGAAAAGATCACGGAAAAAGAAAAGTCGCACGAGGCAGCGCTTATCGGAGTGAACACGTTCGGAAAAGGAAAATTGTTTGTCTTTGTTTATTGTCTTGGTACATTCATTTAAGAAAAATCCAGTCAAGCCAGGCGTTAAAGCCCGGCGCACCGACAGAATCTCAGTCAAGCCAGAACGTAAGCCCGGCGTATTGACAAACTCGCGAAGTCCAGCGTACAAGAGATAGTGCCACTATCGGCGGTGGACCGTACGAAGGCCAAAAGCTGTACGAAGGCAATCTCTGATCGTCTCCGCGGGCACTCTTATATGCCCTGGGCAGCTCGAACTCGCGTGCGAGCCAAGGGGCTCGTGCGCGCGACAACCCAGATCGCCGCGTCGCGGCGGCTCCGTGGACTAGGAGCGCCAGGGAATTTCGACGTTCAGGTGGCGTCCAGCGACTCGGCATCCCGCGCGCCGAGTCACCGCGAACTCAGACGCGATCCTGAACAGCATATTCAAGCTGTGTACTATAATGGCCAATCGTACGGAGAAGGTAGAGAGCTAGGGACAGCTTCGCGAACACTGTATACCACAGTGATCATGCGTAACTGAAGGGTAAAGAATGATAACTTTTGATAAAAATTAAATTTCCAATTCGCAAAATTGTGTAAATTATTGTATAGAGAATAATGAACGCGGCTGTTGAAATTATGAAAGAGCCAAACGAACCACAGAGCCTCTTAGCCCCTTAAGCCTCGCTGAATCGACATTTGTTGCAAATTCGGAATTGAATATCTCGACACCTAAATATCCTAGCAGCAAATTTCAAAAACGGTTTGAAAGCTTTGAAACCGTACTTTTCGAAAGATCTATCGAAATTGTGGGCAACGATATTTTTTCAAAATGGCGGGTGATAAAAAGGAGAACATGAAAAGTTGCTAAAAAAGGTTCGAGCGTGCGACGGCGCATGGAGCAAAATAAGTGTCGCAGCTCAATGGGACGAAAAGTATCTAAAAGTATAGAATGTTTTCTTTAAAATACTTCGTTATAGAGCTTGATGCGATACTTATTCACTGAATTATGCAAATTTAACAAGAAAACCGCATTTTTAGCAAAATTTGGAACAACTCAGTGAAAAATGATCACATCGAGCTCGGTAAAGTAGCATTTTAAAGATAACACTCTATACTTTCATGTGCATTTGGTCCCATTACGCTGCGATACCTGATGCACACCATGCACCATTGCAAACACGGACCTTTGATTATCAATTTTGCATCCTCTCACTTTATCATCCGCCATTTTGAAAAAAATGGCCGAGCATAATTGCCATTCAGATATTCTTAAAGAGGACGTTTCAAGCTTCATTTTGCATTTCTGTGCATATTTGTATCTTCATTATTTACCAAGTTATGATCATTTGAAATTTTGTAATTTTTTCCCAAATTTTTAGTGTACCGGGTTTTTTGCGTTTGAGTGTATATATGTGTGTGTGTGTATGTGTATATATATATATATATAATTTGTTTTGTCACTTCATCATGCTTGCAGTTAAGATTTTGTCGTTTCTATTAAGATTATGTGTGTTAAATTTTAACGTTTTCAAGGTGTTGATAGCGATGGAAACTGGCATTATTCCACCAAACATACGTTACGAAACACCGCGAAAGGAACTTACTCCTATAACTGAAGATAGAATAAAGGTCGTCACTGAACCTATTTCATGGAACGGCGGTTATATTGGCACTAGTTCTTTCGGATTCGGTAGTGCAAACTGTCACATATTGCTGAAATCAAATCCCAAAAATCAAATCGACATTGAAACATCAGACCGCTTATGTAGACTTGTAACGGTATCTGGTCGTATGGAGGAGGCTGTTAAAACTCTATTAGATAATGTAAGTTTGTTTAACTAAAGATATATTTTTAAAAATCAAGATAAAAGGTAGAGATTATTCAAAATCAAAATAATTTTTTTCGCGATGAGATGTATATTTCCGCCTCTGTTGCGATAGGTGAATAGCCGATAGCTAGATGTGGAATATGTGGCTCTTCTGCATAGCATTCATGCTGCAGATATTGAGGGCCATCCATATAGAGGATATACCTTAGCTGGATCTAAAGCTGCTTATAACAAAATAAGACAAGTTGAAAAATACCCATACCTAAAAAGACCAATTTGCTTTTTGTTCTCGGGAACAGAAGTTGAATGGCATAACGTAGGTACGAATTTTGCAACTTTAATACAATTAAATTTAAATTTAATGAATTATATATGTACAATCTCATGTGTGCAATGCCTTTAAAATCTCATTTACGTTTCATTTGGATATATCGAAAAACTGATGAAACTACCTGTGTTTGCCAAGGCAATTGAGAAATGTAATGAGGCATTAAAGCAGCATGATATATGCGTCACGGATATTATAATGAACGAAAACAAAACTACTTGCAACAGCATAATAAAATCATGCGTCGCAAACATTGCCACACAGGTATAAGAAAGAAAGATTATTTGTTTTATATTTGTATTATTTGGTCCGAATCTGGTTTATCTAAATATACATGTGCTAAATATATATAATGTGTATATTTACATAGGCACTTACCTATATAAAATCATGTTAACATACGAGGGCGGTCCGATAAGTACTTAGCCTCACCGCCCAATGGCGCCACTATCGCAAGAGAAATTTACTATCGTGTAGTACATTCTCGTAGACGGCTACTGTCGAATTTTCAGCCGAATCGGACTCGTAGTTTTGATTTGAACGTGTGTGGAAGCGGGCGTGTCCGCGGATTTTAGAAAAATGGAAAAAGAGCAATATCGGTCGGTGATTCGATTCTTGTTTTTGGAAGAGAAATCGCGCAGCGAAATCAAAGAGCGCTTGGATGCTGTGTACGGTGACTCTTCTCCTTCGATGGCGGCCGTCAAAAATTGGTTTAACGAGTTTCAACGTGGTCGCACGTCGGTTTTTGATGAGCCACGCCCAGGTGCCCCGAAAACGGCTACCACGGAGGATAACATGACAAAAATCCACGATCTCGTATTGGCAGACCACCGATTGAAGGTGCGCGAGATAGCTGAGACAGTAGGCATCTCAAAAGACCGCGTGGGTCATATCCTGCATGAAATTTTGGGCATGAGAAAGCTGTCGGCGCGATGGGTGCCGCGTTTGCTCACTCCGGACAACAAGCGCAACCGTGAGACCACTTCAGAGCAGTGTTTGACGCTGTTTAAGCGCAATCCGAAGGAGTTTCTGCGTCGTTTCGTGACCGTCGACGAAACATGGATCCACTGGTACACACCAGAGACCAAGGAACAGTCGAAACAGTGGACTTCACCCGGCGAACGTGCTCCGAAGAAGGCGAAGACTGTCCTATCGGCCGGAACGGAAAAGTGATGGCCACCGTTTTCTGGGATTCACAAGGTGTGATCTACATCGACTACCTGGAGAAGGGCAAAACGGTCACAGGGCTGTACTATGCCGAATTATTGGGCCGATTCGACGCCGAATTGCAGAAAAAACGGCCCCATTTGGCGAAGAAAAAAGTGCTCTTCCACCATGACAACGCACCGGCTCACACCTTCGCCCTCGCCACGGTCAAATTGGTCGAATTGGGCTACGAACTGCTGCCCCATCCACCGTATTCTCCAGATTTGGCCCCGTGCGACTTCTTTTTGTTTCCAAACTTGAAAAAATCACTCGCCGGGCAGAAATTTGAGTCGAATGAGGAGGTCATCGCCGCCACAGAGACCTACTTTGCAGACCTCGAGAAAACGTATTTTTCAGATGGGTTAAAGAAGTTGGAACATCGCTGGGTCAAGTGTATCGAGCTAAAAGGAGACTATGTTGAGAAATAAATCGCCACTTTTCCAAAATTTTCGTTTTTCTTTTGTAGGCTAAGTACTTATCGGACCACCCTCGTATAATGTAACACATCTCAGTTAAAAGCGAGTATTTTTACGAATAACATTGTAGATTGGAATAATGGATCTCTTAACACACGTTGGTGTCCTGTCCGATTATACGATAGGTCACTCCATTGGTGAACTTATCTGCGAATACGTTGATGGACGTTTTACTATCGAAAAAACAATTTTGGCGGCGTATTACATAGGCACAGCGTTCGAGCAGGCCAAGTTGCAGGTTTCAAAGATTTTAGAATTTCTTAATTACTATCTTTCGCTTTTCTTAGTGGAGAGAGATATCTCATTTATATGCATTTATAAAGCCATGCATAACAGTATTAATCACTGTTTCTTAGGTTGACGACATTACTGAGAGTCGATCCGAGTACCTTGGGATTGTTAGGTCAAAACTGTTGGAACATTTCAGCCAGATATTACCATCGCAACCTTCAAAACGCCACAGTGTAACACAATCGGGCAGGCCACGAAGTAACATGTTTGAGACTACTGCAGAATATTACGCGGATAGTATACTGTATCCAATATTATAAAAAAAAATGGCAGCTTTGTTACCGAAAGATACAATACTCATCGACATATTACTGACAGTGCCGCAAAATGATTTTCAGTTGATCATACCAAATTCGCTGGAGTCAACGATGACGTTGATTTCACTGTATAAACGCGGCCAGAAACATATCATACAAGACTTTTTAGAAGGAATCGGAGATCTTTATAATGTAGGACTTCAGCCACAGGTTGCACGTTTGTATCCGCCAGTTCAATTTCCTGTTAGTCGCGGAACACCAATGATATCTCCTCTCATTAGGCGCGTCTCTTCCTGCATATCAAAAAATGAATCACATTTCTTTGTTTACATTACTATGACTAACTTGAAGACAATATTGAAGACAATATTGGAGATGGGATCACTCTGAGGATTATTACTTATACCATTGTTACGTCCTGCGGACTCCGCGTACTTTGAATTTGTTGTCAAGTAGGGCAGATTGCATTTTATATTATATCAGGTGTAGTAAAAAGAAATCCATTATTTTTGCATGAAATTGAAGGCTTTAATTACCATAGTTAGAATGATCCGATTTAGGATCAAATATGCGCCATTTTGTTCGATAACTTGTTGCCATTTTGAAGGTAATTTCATTATGCCTCTCTCATAGAAGCCCTCGTCCCTATTGGCAAAAAATTGAGATAGTCGATTTTCACAAGCCTCTCTTGAAGCGAATTTTGTTCGCCAGCAAAATTGTTCACCATGGACAGGAACAGATGGTAATCACTTGGTGCCAGGTCCGGACTATAAGGTGGATGCATAAGAACCTCCCAACCAAGCTCCCGGAGCTTCTGGCAAGTCACTATCGATATGTGTGGCCTGGTGTTGTCCTGATGGAACACAATTCCTCTCCTATTGGCCAAAGCTGGCCGCTTCTGGGCGATTGCTTCCTTCAGACGGTCCAATTGTTGACAGTACAGTTCCGAGTTAAGAGTTTTGCCGTAGGGGAGCAGCTCATAGTAGATAATTCCCTGCCAATCCCACCAAACACACAGCAAAACCTTCCTGGCCGTCAATCCTGGCTTGGCCACCGTTTCCGCTGGCTCACCGCGATTCGACCACGACCGTTTTCGCTTGACGATGTCGTAAGTGATCCACTTTTCATCACCAGTAACCAAGCGCTTCAGAAATGGGTCGATTTTGTTGCGATTCAGCAGCGATTCGCAGATGGAAATTCGGTCCATGAGGTTTTTTTGCGTTAACTCGTGTGGCACCCATACATCGAGCTTCTTTTTGTATCCAGCCTTATTCAAATGGTTCCAAACGGTTTTTTGTGCAATCTTTAGCTCTTGGGCAATCGAAACAGTGCTTACATGACGGTCGGACTCGACAATGTCCATGATTTTATCGATATTTTCGACAATTGGCCTTCCAGTGCGTGGTGCATCTTTGACATCGAAATTACCGGAACGGAATCGACGAAACCAAAATTGCGCGTGATTGGCTGTTACAGTATCAGGACCATAAACACTATTCACATTTTCAGCCGCCTGGCTTGCGTTTTCACCTTTATCGAAGAAAAACTGTAAAATATAACGTATTTTCTCTTTGCTAGTGTCCATTTTTGACGCGCGCTCAAACAAAACTGAATCAACTAATCACAAAACTGTCACAAAAGTTTTTTTAGTACGAAATCTCATCTTTCTAACGCCATCTAGTGGAACCCGATCGGACTTATACAACGCGAGATACAGATAACTAAAGCCATCTATTGGAAAAATAATGGATTTCTTTTTACTACATCTGATACTACCAAATGTTCACATTCCGCGACCCTCTGAGAACTGTGACGTCACACACACAGATTTCTCTTTCTTTTCTCTCTGCGTTAATCACCAGAGTTTCCTCTATTTCCGTCAGAAAAGATCCGTTGAGTCATTTTGGCCATATACCTGCTCTCCAAATAACCTTAAATAACTTCCCGTTCGGAGCAATAATTTTCTTTGAAGACGGACCGAGCAGACAATCTTTCATGCTGTTATATGATGTTGCCAGCCTTTGATCTTCGGAAACTCACGCGTTTCCCACGTTATTCATAAATTCCTATCGCGCACAACCTCTGACTAACCCTAGCGAAACCTTGAAATCTTTTACTGCCATAGATACCCGATCCTTTATCATATTTATCTAAGAACCCTACTAAAACGCCACTTCCGAAAAGTTTGCAACAAAATCCTATACCCATATTTGGACATAAACTTTGGAGCCTGACGCAACTTCCCAAACCCCACCTCTCGACCGAGGTGACGTTTTTGGTAAAGTAAAAAAGCTATGCCACTTCTATTTTTTCTCCCGACCGACCCGCAGCCAGGACAGAGCCTTCTCTCCAACACCCCTTCAGGGTTTTTTGATAACCAACCCTACTAGTAAATCAGATCAGTGTTCTTCAGTCATCTATTCTTCTGTGCAACGATCTCGTGCACCCTTGAGACATTGCGAGAGATCCTGCTGAGACCAGTTTCTAGTCCTTGGCGCAACTTGGGTCCATCCTCACAGAGACGCAGCAACCACACCTTTCATTGTCTACTAAGATCAGAGAAGTCCAG